GTGTGTGTGTGTGTGTGTGTGTGTGTGTGTGTGTGTGTGTGTGTGTGTGTGTGTGTGTGTGTGTGTGTTGTAAATTGTCACCACAACAACCCCTTTTCCATCCAGATGAGTAGATCCAAATTTGATACAAACTGCTTGACCCAACTGTCACCATATGTGTGTGCGTGCGTGTGCGTGTGTGTGCGTGTGTGTATGTGTGTGCGTTTGTATGTGTATGTCTGTGCGTGTGTGTGTGTGTGTGTGTGTGTGTGTGTGTGTGCGTGTGTGCGTGTGTGCGTGTGTGCGTGTGTTTGCTTTGTCCGATCTATTCTGTGGACGCTTGCAGATGCTTAATATATCAGCCGTGTGTGTTGCACTACTGCAGCATAAGCCACATGGATGGATGGATGGATGGATGGATGGATGGATGGATGGAAAATGGATTCCCTTCCCCCTGCCACGTGTCTTGCTCTGCTGATCGTTGATCCCTTCTTCCGCTAGGTGAATGGATATATGGATGGATGGATGGATTAGTGGATGAGTGAATGGATATTGATGGATCGTTGATGCCTTTTCCCGCTACGTGAATGGATGGATGGATAGATGGATTGATCATATGGATGGATCGTTGATGGGTCGTTGATCCCTTCTTGCGCTACGTGTCTTGATCTGCCCACAGACATGAATGGATGGATGGATTGATGGATGGATGGATGAATGGATGGATGGATGTATGAGTGGATGGAGATGACCTTATCTGATTGGACGTATGGGCGAAGGATCGGAGAAGCGGAGGATCGATCTCCTGTCCTGCTGAATGTAGGAGGCGACACTCCGAACACTCGACGGTCTGCACGATCTGAGAGCATCCGAGCCGTTTTTGTTTTTTTTTGTGTGTGTTCCGTCTCCTCTGGGACATTTGATTACCACTTTACTACCCTTCTTTCCCTGAATACAACGTACGGTCGTTGTAGCTGTATTTGGGGTATCTTTCAGTCCAAATACAGCTATAATGACCGTGCGTTGTATTCGGGAAGAAGGGTAGGATTGAACCATCACCACTATTCACTATTCACTATTCTTCTTCGACCCTTTACTACCCCTTTGATTACCGAGGGGGTAGTAAAGGGTAGTTATTGGGGGTTTCTTACTAGTAAATTAATGTTATAAAAAAAGAAGGCCTGGCCTTCTTTTGCAATCAACGAATCAAAGTTACGTACGGTCAAAGGGAGAAATGAGGGCAAATATTCACACTAGGGACTTTTTCCACTTCTCTCTGGACGTAATACAGGTTAGGTGCATCCTTTCCAGGTCGGAAAAGCGGTCATATACATTGGGGAAAGTCCCTAGTGTGAGTATGCCCTGACTGGATCCTAACCGATCAAAAGAAAGGCAGTGGAAAAAAAGGCAACACTGCGGCGCATCATTACTTTGAAAAAATCATCTCTTGCGAGCGCCTGCAAAGCACTGAAGATTTGACGCGTAGTGTTGATAGCTTTCTCGAAGTCGTTGAGTAGGCTGGCTACCGTCATTATGGTTGTACCTGACCGGGAAGATAGCTTGTATACAGTCATTATCAGGGTGCATTGTTTTCATGGGAACACGGTAGGCTGATTTCTCACGCGCTATGCTGGGCGTGGTATAACCTATAGACAAGTTCTCTTACCCCCCCCCCCTTCGTGTATATATACGTATAAACAATTTGTCACAGCCCCTCCCTCGTTTGTTGTCCTCTTCTCCCTCCCTCTCTGCCTACGGTTTACCGGGCAGCTCTGTTTGACTATAAAGACGTGAACCGACAGTCTGTAGAGTTTTCCATCTGGTGTGGGTGAGTGATAGTCTACTTTGATTTTGGTTGAGGTAGATTATCATTTACAGTGTAATCAGTGAGGGGAGTCTGCAGACTGTTGAGTGTTCAGCCTCCTGATGAGTCGGTGAAACTCCGACGAAACAGTTTGTCACAGCCCCTCGTTTGTTGTCCTCTTCTCTCTCTCTGCCTACGGTTTACCGGGCAGTTCTGTTTGTG